TGAAAACCTGGAAGCACTGGATGGTCGTTTCGTTCTAGCATGGGAATTCTCAACAGTACATCCACGACAGTACGAGTTGAATTTGAACTCAGAACTTTTGGTTTTAAGTATATATATATATATATATATATATATATATATATATATATATATATATTTCAACAATCAAAATGATTTCCAAAAGGCTATCTAGTGTAATATGTAACGTTATGTTTAACAGGGCCGTCCAAATGATGACAGTAGTAGTATTGTTCAATGATCGTATTAGTGAATGCTTACCTTATTTGACAGATGTTAAATAAATAGTTGACATCAAAGGATATGAGATCAGCTGATTTCATTCAAAAAATAACACGTATACAGATGAATCTCGTGATTTTAACGAATACGTTTACTGTTCATACACGTACAGCCTGGGTAAAATGGTTGAAATTTGACATGTGTTTTTCATTTTTATCTAATAATCATGTTAAACAGTAGCATATCTTGACCACTTTAAAAAGTGAAACATTTTTAGAGAGTGAATCCAGAATATCATTTTTAAAAAAACAATATTTTACAAGAAACTAAGATACAACAACAATGTTTTTATTGTCATCTCTTATTTGAATGAAATCGATCTTATTTATTTTCAGAAAAATGCTTCAATGAAAAAAAACACAGTAACAACCGAAGGAAATGTACCACAGTTTAATCACTTATAATTATCTGTACCTATTAGAAATGTTAGTTCAGTGTTTGAATTCGCTATTCAATATTCAATAGTAGCAGCTGATTTTGAGACACTTTAATTAACAGTAGTAGTTAATTTGATCATTTTTGTTACTGATTGAATACATGTTTAATTTGAACAATTTGTTTTATTCATGTTTACAAAATTATCTTATAGTAATAAAATTTATTTCACAAAGTAAAAATATTTACATGTTCAATAATAATAATGATATTATTATTATTATTATTATTATGTCGAGAGGAAAATATAAACTAATCTTAAAAACAAAAACAATGTTAATAGTCAAAATAACAATAATAAAACCGAATAAATCATTAAATGAACAATGAAAAGCATTAGGTGTGACACTTTAATAATTATGTGTAGTGATTATGTTTACAAAGTTCGATTTGATTCTAAATTTGTTGATTATGTTTATTTATCGAAATGAATATGTTTATTTATAAGTTATGAATGAAATTTGTTGCATCACTGTCACATGTAATTAAACTAAATGAAGAGATTGTTTATTAGAAATCAGAAGTAGCCAGACATTGGACGACTGATAACTGAGATTTGTGTTGGTTATACGCCCCTTTAAATGAGGGGAACGAAGCATTCTAGAGCGCTCTGAATTTTTTTACATATGAATCTCGAAGTTTTTGAATCGATGTTGTGTATACTTCATTAAAGAAATTGATAAAACTGAATCGATATTCAGTACGGTGAATACTACGTCATAGTTTATTCACCTATTCAGATGAAAAGGAATGTTATCAAAGGTCACAATTAGTTTTAAGCGATTTAGGCGACTGACTTTTCTAGGGTCGGGTAACTTTTTTTCATTTTTCATATGACACATTTGCACCATTGATAATTTAAAACCAAATCGAATTCTGTTTCAACCATGTTACCTGTATGCGCGACTGGAAGTTGTGCTATGGAAGTTATACAATTACAATCAAACAATTAAACTGATCATCTACAGGAGATCATATAATCAATTCATTTTTTGAGGTTTTAATCTATGAGATTCAAAAGGCATGTTGATGAGAAAACGTTGAACAGACCTGTGATGACAATTGCTAACTTATTTCAGCTTCTGTAAACAATTAATAAATATATCTATGTAACTACATATTATTTCATTCCAACCTAATTTATTATGACCAGCTAAAAAAAACATTTTTTGCACATATTTCATAATATTTAAAGTTTCATTGAAATGGTTTACATTTACTAGTTTACTACTGTAAACACAATATCCTAATGTGTTCATATTCGGTTTTCTAGTTTCATTAAAGCCAATCAATAATTTTTATGTGTTCATATACTTGATTTAAATTAACAGTGTTTTATGTACTTTAATCAATAAATTAGATATCCTTTAATCTTTATCACACAATGAATATAGGAATTTTTTATATACAAACAAGTGTTTATAGTTATTTTTAATTTTTTGTTTTCATGTATGTTCAGCCATACATTCTCTATTTGATAGTATATCTAAGTAGTTAATTATAATTAAATCTATTTTGTTAAAATGAGTAAAGTAGCTCTCGATAGAATGTTTATTAATTCACATCAGATACCACAAAAAGACAGTTAATAAACACTTATAATTAAAACACCTTTTCCTTAGATTTTATGGTTACTGGTGCATACCTCAGTGAAGTCCGATGTGGTCTAATCTTGCTAGGAAAGTAACTCAAGACACTAGATAACTAAATTTAGAAAGTTGAACTGTTATCTAGGAACTCTTAGGTTTGATTGCGATTGTGATCTTGATTATGGTTCATAAGTAATACAGTGAAACAACTCACGAATGCTTCTTGTGTTCCATGAACATCAAAATGTCAAATTTTAAGTTGATATTTTCACTCTTTTTTTCTAGTCAACTAGTTTATTTCTAAATAAATTGTTTACTACCAAATGATATTAACGTTAAAAACTATGCAGTGAATATTAAGCATTCATTGATGGATTTGTTGAAAAAGAAGCAAACAAACAAATTCATTGAATTTTACTAAAAAATAAGTGATTTATTTTTAAAACTAATATCAATAACCATATTTTAAGCATATATATTCTCAAAACAAACGCTGAGTTTATGCATAATAACGAAGGTCACTAGATGGAATAACTTGAAAACTGGGTTAATTTTATCGATTTAATGCATAACATTTAGTGGGTTAGGGAAATAGTATTTAGTGATTTTATACAATTCCATATGTCATTATGTTCATGCTAGTGTAACAAGCTTTTATTTAAACTTATACGGCATGCACTTAATCCTTTTTTCTCGTTAAATTTAGAATAAACACGATGGCATACTTTAAATACTTTTGTTGTGTTAAAATATTGAATGATCTAATTCAACTATTAGATTTTCTTTGACCATTTCGTTAATTATTCGATAAAATTTAGTAAGTTGGTTGGTTGAATTTCATAGGATTAAGATGGCATTTAGATTTCGAGAGAAAGAAACGAAAATTAAAATGAATTATATTTAATCCTGAATGGTAATACTGTATTTTTACCGAATACAAAAACAAATATCCTATAATGGCTTAAACAAAGACTATGTTAAGACGGAGTGAAAGTTTAAGCGATACTTTCATATTTATTCGAGGCTAATTTTTACAGTAAAAGGTATAGAGCATAGTCCAAAATTGGTTGGAACTTTAATTGGAAACTTTAATTTTGTGTGACTGAACACTGTAACCAATGTTATGGATGAATTTTAAGTACTTGCTCACTTGCAATGAAACAAGTATACATTAATGAAACATCAACAATGTAACATGGCTTCAACTCTCTGGAAAAACACAAGTTAATAGAAGTTTCAGAGCAGAAATCAGTAATATATTTTGAAATGAGGTATTTAAAGATTCCAAATGTTCTTGATCGAAAACATTTTTTTAGATTATCCATAATGTAAACAAGGCTTTTATTTGAGATTCGTATTGCTAGAACAGATTTATATTTATGGAAGGACAGTGAAATCTACAATCTTCGTCATTTGAAATAATTAATAGATCTTAACACACCATAAACCTCTGGAAACTTTGTAAGTGACTGAATGCATGGTAGACTGAAATAATAATAATAATGATAATAATAACAATAATAGTGATACTTTCTGTACATTAACTGTAAATTGAGTAACGGACATCGAATTTCAGCTACTCAGGTAACTTATCATGATTATTGCATTTCGGATCGCTCAAAGATTCATACCAAGCTGTGATTGGTATCGTATACTACTTGCACCGCATTTGGGGTGTAAATACAGGCTTTTTGTGATGCTTTTTAATATATTTTAAGTATTTAGAATTTACACAGGTTTCTTCAATAAACTAATGCATATATATAGATATCCACGTTATTTCCGCCTAAAGAGCAAAGATCCCTCTTTGGATTGAGAAACTCTGGGATTGAAAAAATTACAACAAAGAATAGCCTGAGTGGCACTCAATTTTTCATATTAATTCAGACCATGTTTAACTGATCATAAAACGGTTATTATCTCTATTCTTAAACAAATTGTACTTCTCAAAGCATTGCAAGAAATTAACTTTAAATGATATTGATAATTATTTTTGATCAATACATGATGAGAATGGAATATATCAATATTTTGAAATTTCAACACTAAATGTAAATTTGATTGTAAGAAGTTTATGTTTAGAAAAGACAGACATCATAGACAGAGAAAAATTAACTTATCAAAAACCTGTTTTACTAATCATATGACGAATACAGAAAGCAGCAAATTGCAAAAATCAGGTGTCTAAAAAAAACTGTTTCTATATAACTGGAATTCTTAAAAAACTTCTGATTAACGTTGATGACTTGATTTTTTTAAACTGTAGATCTAATCAGTGCATATCAAATTAATTTACACAATCAATTAACACAATTAAAAAGCCAAGTAGAATAAAGCTTGATAATTCAGTTTGATCAAACAAAATTTGAAACAAAGTATGGTAACAAAATTTATCGTTTTTTATAATTAAATTTAGCAAACATTAGCTAGTCTGGTATGTTACTCGAACTGTTCATTATTCAGTTTTATTTAATTAATCATGCATAATTCAAAGTTCATCTACACTTATCACTTACACAACAGATGCGTGTAACTAGTGATCTCCATGTAAATACAATTATAATGTTTCTCATAGTCAAACTATTAAAATGAACAATGAATAGTATTTTTCTGTAATAACAATTGGTATAAACCGGAAAATAAACTGAAAAATGCAATATTGTAAATGGAACTTACCAACAAACAGATATTTCTTAGAATTTCAACTCGAAACCTGTGCTCAAAATGTATGTAAGTTCTTGCTTAGTTTGAAGAAAATGTTTATTTATTGAAATAGTTCCGTGAATTAATTAATGCTTATTTATGTTTCTTGTTCTTTTCACTGAAATATGTTAAAGAATAATCATTTCATCAGTGAGATATTCTTCTGTGTTTATTATAAATCAAAAGCTGACTAATTCAAAACTCAAACATTTATCTATTATTTAGATAATTTTAAAAACGAAACGAATGAATATATGTAAAAAAATTCATTTGAAAACAAACATTTTCAATTTTTGTACATTTGTAGTTCATTCCAATAAATTCGAACAAATTCACATGTAGATCAAACTTCACAATTTATTCTTTCTCAATGATTACAGAACTTTTAGTTGTTTTATTTTAATTCAATGTTTATATATATATAATCGAGTATTGAAATTCAAATAAATTTTACTTCTGTATTTTTAAAAAAAAATTTTAATAGCAGCTAGAGAGATTATGTTAATATCACACGAGTTACCATATTTTTATCTCATGATAACAATGAACATAGTTAGTTAATATTTGTACCTTTAAAATAAATAAATGTTTAAGATTAATATGATTCAGTTTATTATTGTTTCTTTGATTAAAAAAAGTATTCCCTACAAAATCAACTATTAATAAATGTTCAAGGTCATACATTTATTCTCAAGGTTACTTTTCTGGCACCAAGTATAATAATACAACAAAAATAATTTATAACCAATCAGTGAAATGACAAGATTTCATTTGTTATTCATATGGATAGTAATCGGAGTATATATTTGTAGTATAACCAGTACAAAACGTCATTCATTGATAATTGTAGGAAATCAATAAGTAAATAATTATATATTGTTGATTGGTCATTAAGAATATCATAAGATGTGCTTACTTAATTATAAAATAATACAGTAGCTATAAACAACTCTTTAATTTTTGCAAGTAAATTGAAGAATTTTTGAGTTCATAAAGTTCAGCGGATCAATTTTACAATATGACAACAATATTAAAAGTGTTTTGTGATGTGAAACTTTGATAAATTTCATGGAAACTATTTCAAGTACTGCAGACTGCAATCTACACGAATATTGTTATTTTCTTACGTAACATGGGCGAACTTCAAATTTACAGGAGTTATAGAAAGTAGTGTATTGCTACAGTGCGAAGGAAGAAGGGCTTTCACTTCAGCATTAGTCAGTGAAGTCATTTTCATGAAATTTAAAATAACTTTTCGATATAACGATAACTGGATATGAATAATGTAATCCACTAGATAAATAGTAATACAAATTTACGAGATACTTGTTTGTATTTAAGATCCTATGTGAATGACATTAAAAATGGCCTTAATTAACCTAGCCTCTTTGAGACATGCACAACTATTCAGATGCTATAACTCTTGGACGTTTTTCAGTAGACACAACGTCATTTGTGAGATGTAGAATATTCTTTTTGTTAAAACATCAACTTGGGCTTTATTGCAAGAGATATACTACCACATAATAGTTACTTATAGAAAACAGTACTGAGAATAGACTCGAAAAATTTTTCTTCAAGCAACAACTGCAATTCTCTTATATGCATTTTCTTAGAGCTCTTTCCTGAACATCAACATCTATCAAGCTGCAAATGAGTGACAAGAATGATAATCGCAAAAATATTTGGAGCACTGGAAACATTTATTTTACCATTGTTGGTCCAACTTGTGGTTCCACCCTTAAAAATCTTTCGAAACGTTAATAAATGTCTAAATAAAGTCAAACCACTACAATCAATCAAAAATCATGACCAACTCTTACACATCCAAGTTAATATAGTGTTAATAGTTATAGGGTAAATGGCATTAGGTGGTTAGAAGAACTTTGCGAACTCAGCGATGACTATAACTAGAGTCGAATATTTTTGAAATCTGTGTTTCCATTACACTAGTATCAGTTGACCGTAGTGCATAAATACTTCTAGTTGATAGCGTAATAAAACCTTAAACCGTTTACTTTGACAGCATGTAAGAGACTATCGGTAAGAATTTAGTTGACTGGTACTGCTTCACTTCTAGAACTTAGTTTAATTTTGACTTCAGTAAAATTTTAACAACAGTACAACAGAAGTTATTATGAATTCATTCAGAAATCTTTGAAGCTTCGAAAATCCGATAATTTCGCGGTTTATTCTTAAATTCTTTCAAATGCTGATTACCATAGCCAATATCATGGATGACCATTCACTTTGTGTTTGATTAGTTTCATTACAACTTCAGAATATTCACGTGAAAACGGTCACTAAAGTGGATTGTGAAAAGTGTATTTTTTCATAACAGTTGTATTCGTTACGTAATAATTGCCACCGTTAAACCATTAAAAAGTTTAAAACACTCATACATTTAAGTTATTTTCATAATACAAAATTTACAATTAATTTCAAAGCGCTGTTCATCCCAAGATGTTCTTTTTTAGCTATATTTCTTACAGATCTAAGCGACATATATATATATATCTTGTCAAAGAAATATTTTTATGAGATTACCTGAATGATTTAGTGTGGATATATTACATGTCCCAATTTATTTTATCTGGTCATTATGATTTTTAGGTGTAAAAAAACTAGACTAACTACAGTTTTAATTGTTAAAATGGTTCTGATTGCCTAAAAGATCAACTGGATACTAACAGATTAGATAAATATTTAGTTTATTCATTAAACTGAGAGTGTATTATTTCCCTATACCTAAAACTCAATAATTATCTAAATAACATTAAAATTACTGATTGTTTGTCATGAGAAAATGAAAATTTTGTTTGCTACTTGAAACGTATGATCAAGCATCCAAATAAGGAACATATTTTTTTTAAACTGAGTTATATCTCGAATTTCACGCATCGCAAAAAATTATTCCAAACATTACGCAACTTTTTGTTTGATACAGTTCAGTAATTATTATCAACCTATTTTAAACTGATCTGGTTTTAAATGCTAACTCTATTGGTGATTTGTATATAATAAATTCCACCAACTAACCTGTAGGCTGAAGTAAACCTGTTTGGCCATCTTCCAGAATATGTTTATCTAGTCAGTAAAATCATAAATCAAGCATGTGAAATCCGTAGTTCTATGTTTTATGATTACAATAAATGCAATTAATTTTTAAGTAATGATTTTTTTCTCTACACTCTCAAAATTGTTTAAGTGACGCCAAGATAAAAAGTGAAAAATACAGTATTGTGCTACCTTTGCATGGAATTATCTATGTTAGCTAGTTTTGCATGTTTTGGTGCATTATGAATAAAAAAGTTAGTGGTTTCTGTCATTTGTTTGAATCCCATGTGACGTAAAAAAACGTTTTGAATATTGGAAAATTGAGAGACAACAGCTTCTATACGAATAGAAGTGAATGGAATTTTTCATTGTTTTGAAATGTTTTATTGAAAACTTCTGGTCTTCAAAATCCCTTGCGTTGATAAAGTGCTTTAGGAGACTACCAGTCGTCAATAGAAACTCCAATGCCCACTAGAGATTACCTTATGATAAAAACCAGTAAGTTTCATTTACACTGGTACAATATTATATAACATTAAACAATAAAGTGTACACTAGATAACTGTGCTCACTTTCCGTTTAAGCTCCATAATAAATGCATTTAAGTAGGACAACTTTAATCATAAAAGCAGCATTTTTAAATTAAAAACCGCAAACAGATTTCCTTTGTGCTTCATACAAACGATAGCTTATCAGTTATTTTTTATTGTGCATACAGCCAACACATTCTGGTATCTGATAATTGTATCTTTTTTAAGGATACAGCCGTTCATTAATAAAAGCATCAATATTGATCCACAAAACAGCTTATTTATTCTTACTTTCTTTCGTTAATTTTAGTTATGAATGCTGAGAGTTACGCTACAACTCTCTATGGTTGGTAATTAATTTTCTAAGTTCATTTGGTTATAGAGTTATTATCTGAATTCTTAAATTGATGCAAAGCTCTAGACCGATTAGGAAGTAATTATTCTGGAAAAAATATTCTTTCAAATCATTTTGTTGACATTTCGTCTTACAAACAGATTTCATGTATTTCTATTTTATTATGTATTGTATCAGCTGACAATTATATTCTGACAAAGTTTCGGTTAGAACAGTTCCTATAACTATCCTTCTACGCGAGTGAACTATACTTCACTTTCTAAGCAAATATTTCATAGATAACGCTTTCATTATTAAAAATAAACTCAAACAACTACTATTTAGATATTATAAATTGTTTAATAAGTAGATATGTACAAAATTAATTTTTTAAAGTTTGTATTTAGATCCGAAATTTCAATAATAATTAATTTCTTATCTATTGTAAATCTTCAAATTGTTCAAGGTCATCGATGTCGTTTATAATTTGTTTTCTTCCTCATTTTCTCTTTAAAACAAAAGCTTACATTATAATTATGTTTGATGGTATTTATAAAACTTTTATCATAAAAACATACACTGGAAAAAACATAACTGATATCGTACTTTTATGTAAAAATTCCACCTTAATAATACTAAGTTTCTTATTCACTTATCAAAGAATTTTACCCTTTTCGATATTTATTGTATTTTGATTATTTGTCAATCATCACAGCAAGAACTGAATTGATGAGATAATGTCAGAAAAGTGATGAATTGATAACCATGAATTAAGAAAATGACAAACTAGATAATCTTCTGTTTGATACTTTAAAATAGATGTACTTATTTGAAATAATAATAACATTTCTCGCAAGCATACAGTAAAAACATTTTCTGAAATCTGTGAAAATTTAGGAAACAATTTCATTTTCCCGATAAATTATTTTATCATACCTTATTTTTAAAATATGTGACTTGAAGTAAAAATTAAAGTTTTATCTTCATGTTTCTCACTATGTAATTGAGTTTTACTCCGGTATCCTCCTGGTCAACTGATTTCATTAGTATTTTGTTTTATTCTTTGAGAAGTATAGTCGTATCATGAAGCGTTCATTATTCTTCTGAACAATATCATCGACACCAACTTCAGATAGAAATGAGGCATTGCAATTGTTACACATGGCCGACAGCTTATTCTGTTGACCCTTTTCTTGATTGGTTAATGTTAACTTTCAACCAGTGATTGTCTACGTATTTATTTTGCTTGTTTCTCCTTTCAATCTGACTCTTAAATTTTTATTTGTTTATGGTTTCTTTAAATGATTCACAAATGAAACTAAATCATAACTAACCATCTGAGTTATAAATCTTCATCATCTCAAATTATTGTTTGTTTAAGTACATACTGTTTTTAATTTATAAATATTGTATTTATTTTTCTACAAGATCATAAGCTCTCAAAATCATTCTTTTTTATAACTGAGACAAGTACATATTCCTTGAAGTTTATCTTACATCAGTGCTTTATTAAAATTACTACTGATAACTTTGATTGCTACACTGTCATTACGTTTACACGTTACCATCTTTCAGTGTTAAATAGCACAATCTCACATAAAATATAAAGAATAATTAACCGGGAATACTGATATAATGCTTTACGAAATCCTCAATTTAATGGATTATAGTAT